GAGGATCAAACTCCAGTCCTGTACAAGAACAGCCAGTGCTCTTAACGCTGAGCCATCTTTCCAGCCCCCAGAACTGCTTTTATAACCTTGGGAGGGACCTTGTGACACTTGTAATTTTCTGAACTTAAGTTTCATTACCTTCCTCATCTTATGAACCTTCCTTCTCCTTCTAGGAGGGAATGTTTCAGTTAAAAAAAAATGTTTACACAATAAGAAGTCTAGCGCCCAGAGAGGGGGTTCAGGCAGAGGAATAACAATGTACCACTGGCTTTGAAATCATGAAAGCAAACAGATTGTCAACGGAGTCATTTGAGGTAAACAAAAAAGTTAGAAGGATTGATCCCTTGGGCACTCCACCTATGGGGAGTTAGTCATCAGAGGAGACTAAGAGGTACTCAGGAGGGAGGAGGGAAAATAGAAGGTGAGAGCCGAGGGTTGACATGGGTTGGTAGAGGCCATTGGTGGTTTGATGGCAGGAAGCACTTGTGGTGAGGTCGTGGGGGCCAAGTCAGAGCTCAAGAGGTGATACAAGAGGAACTGGATTTGGAGAATATGTTAACCTTTTTTTTTTTGAAATGAGATGAGTTCTCATTTTGACTGGCCTAGAACTCAATATATGGATCAGACTCAATATATGGCTTCAAACTCTTAGAATTCTGCCTGCCTCTGCCTCCCAAGTCCTGGAATTAAAGGTATCTGTCACCTCACCCAACCTCTTTTTTGAGTCAGTATCTTGATTTATAGCTTAAGTTGGCTTGGAATTTACAATCTTTCTGCCTTTGCCTCCAGAGTGCTGGGATGACACTCAACATCATAGGTAACTCTTTTTGAGACAGGGTCTCCCTGAAGCCCAGCTAGCTTGGATCTCACTATGTAGAGGCAGAAGGATCTCAGGAGACCAGCCTGATCTACATAGTGAGGTCCAGGGAAGGGCGTGTGGTGAGGGCGTGTGGGCCAAGTCAGAGCTCAAGAGGTGATACAAAAGGGAATGGGTTTTGGGAAAATGTTAACCTTTTTTTTTTTTTGAAATGAGATGAGTTCTCATTTTGACTGGCCTAGAACTCAATATATGGATCAGACTCAATATATGGCTTCAAACTCTTAGAATTCTGCCTGCCTCTGCCTCCCAAGTCCTGGAATTAAAGGTATCTGTCACCTCACCCAACCTCTTTTTTGAGTCAGTATCTTGATTTATAGCTTAAGTTGGCTTGGAATTTACAATCTTTCTGCCTTTGCCTCCAGAGTGCTGGGATGACACTCAACATCATAGGTAACTCTTTTTGAGACAGGGTCTCCCTGAAGCCCAGCTAGCTTGGATCTCACTATGTAGAGGCAGAAGGATCTCAGGAGACCAGCCTGATCTACATAGTGAGGTCCAGGCCAGCCAGGACTACAAAGAGACCCTGTTTCAAAAGGAAAAAAAAAAAAAAAAAAAAGATTTTTCTTGTAAAGGACAGCAGAGAAAGAAGGTGAATCTGGAATGGAAAGTGGAATCAATAAGCAGTTTTTGTTTTTGCTGGATGGAGAATTGGATCACGAATCCTTTAACTCCTCTCTTGTTCTCCTTCCTCCTCTCCTTCTTCCTTTGTCTCTCCCCGAATTCAGGCCATACTCCATGCAGCCTCTGTCCAGGCAGAGTTGAAAAGGGAAGTCTGCTGTGGCCTTGCAGACTCCCTCCCCCATGCAACTTCCAGCAAGCCCAGGCCTCCTGGTACCCAGGCCTAAGATAACCTTGAATTACAACTTTACTTTCATCTACTGGCTTCCCGTCTTGTGAATTCATAGGCTAGGTCACATGGTGTGGAACAAAAAACAAAACAAAACAAAATTCTTTGAGAGTCAGGAACTCTGTTCTTGGGAATTAAAGGGCCAGTCTGTCAGTCCGTTTCCCTTCATGGCCCAGTCATGCTATTCAGGACATTTATTCCTCCTAATGAAGTTCTTTTTTGGACCTGAAGGCTTGCTCCCAGCTTTAGGAGCTGACTGTGGCTGCCTATGTCCTTAACACTAATTCTGCTAATAGAACTCTTCTAAATTGTAATTAGTCTCAGCTTCCTTTCTACTAACCTTTCTTTAATTTTATATAACAGACTTATAACTTGTTTGCATGTTCATGGAAATGATCCAATAGAGAGGAAGAAACAAAGTGATGTCCTTGTGTAAGAAGGAATGGAATCTGGTATGTGTGTTGCAAGAGCAAGAATGAGAGTGAGAACAAGAGAGCAAGAGAGCGAGAGAGCAAGAGAGAGAGAATGAGAGCAAAAGCATATATAGTTTTTTGGTTCCTCTGGGAACAAGAAAGCAGGCTGAGGACATGGGAACAGATTTGAACATGTGCATGGACATAACAGGGGTGGACTTGTGGATGTTCTCTTCTGATTTTTATTTTTTCAAGAAAATGGAAGTCAGGCTATCATCTGATTGAGGATGAGGGGGGTGTTTGAAGCTTGAGGAGAGAGGTGATAGAAACATAGTTGGAAACTTCTAGCCTTTACTTTGTGAAGGGGAGGGTCAAGTACCAAATTAGCAGAAATGACATTCTCTTGACAGAGCTCTGGCAGCCCATTTCAAATTCTGCAGGCAATAAATAATGCAGGAGGACCCTGTGCCAGGAGTTGGGACATAAGACCTTTCCAGCCATCAAGATCTTCCCAGGTATTACCTTCAGTCACAGTTTTTCCTACCACTTTTCTTCTCTCAACTTTGAGTAAGCCCATGCAATTCTTCTCATTTGTTTCCTATAACACCTAGCACAATGCTAGGTACTTAATATTTGGTGGGGTCATGTTTGTGTGTTTTCTTCTTTTTATGAACCAATGGTGTAATTTTGTCCTAGGTTTTCTAAGGATTCAGGCCCTCCCAGGCCCCCACGATCTTTTCTTTTCCTTTCAAAACAGTGTCTCTCCATGGAGACCTCCCAATCTTGGCTGCAGCACATTGTCTGTGTTTCCAGAGCCTCCTCAGCTGAAAACTTCCTGTGGTTCTGGAAAGTCTGAAGAATGACAATTGATAGTCTGCATTCTAATGCCATGATTATCATTTTATTATTTGCTTTGAAATGTCTCACATTGTACTTTAGCATGGAGACACAGGAGGGCACTCTAACCAACCAGCATTAAAACTTCAATGATTTCATAGCCTTGGAAGATTAAAAAAAATGGATGTTGATTTGGTTGAATCTGGTGTTTTGTTTGTGTTTCAGCAGGCAGGATAAGCAACTTTGCAGGAATACCCAACTCTCCTGGAGTGTCTTACCTGTGACAAAGGTCTTCAAGACACAGCTTCCATATTGTTCAGTTAATGTTACTTGGGATGTTTGTAGTAAACAATTTAGAACAAGGAAGTGAACTGGGGGGAAGTTGCTAGGAACTTCCAGACTTCTCTTACGTTCTTGTCTCTGCTGCCCCCAGCTAAGGTAGAAAACTTTTTTACACAGGTTACCCACTGCCTCAGCTTGCAAAGAGATGGAGACAAGGTTGTCAAGGGCTCATATTTAGAGGACAGTTGTCCAAGGACAATCTAGAGCAGGAGACAGACCCTGTTGTCTTGACTTCTTTCAAAGGTGCAGCCTGTCCAGTGCCTGTTCCCATCTGTCAAGTGCTGATAACAGCTGACCTGTGCCCATATAGTTTGTCAATGGAGATAGACAGAGGGAAGGCGCTGGGAGTAACATTAACCACCTTACAGAGAGCATTCAAAAGATAAAGCCAGCTTGCCTTTGGTCATTAGGTGACAGCACACTGGAGAGACAAAGCGTGCCCCGCTGTCAGAGTAATAAAAAGGGTAAGTCAGGACCTACTCTCCGGTTTCCGCTCAAACTGGAGCACAGACACTAGGGGAGAGGGGCCCGGGGCAGCTTGGGGGATGGTCTCCTTTCCAGGGAGTGGCGAGACGGTCCTGATCCAGGGTGGCGCGGGGCAAAGACTCCCCCTTCTCTGAAGGAGGCTGGCTGGTGATGCGCAGCCCCTCTGGCGGGTTGCAGCTGGCCTAGCGCTCAGGGTCTGCACCAGCTTTGAGGTCAGCCGCTCTGCCGCGGTTCCAGATCCGGTCGCGGGATGCAGACTGCGGATCTCTGATTTGTCTGCTCGCGACTCAAAGCCACGCGATCAAAGGATGAAGAAAAGAGAGGAAAGGGGTGTTTGCTTCCACTCATCGGGTAGTTTCGGCGAGTGGACAGAGGTTGGGCCGCGCACGCGTCTTAGACCCTCGGGACCACCCGGGGCTAGCTGTTCCCTTAGGGAAGGGTGGCCGCTTGTCGCCCCAGTCCTCGGTAGTGGCAGCAAAGCGCCCTATGCGCATTAAGCGCTTTCCTGAGCCACCTCTTTAATTTTCCCAAGATCCCTAAGCGGCGGGGACTGTTTTCCCCTCATACTGCAGAGGAGGGAATGGCCTTGGACAAGTTGGGCGGCTGTTCGGAGTGTTTCAGCTAAGGGTGCAACGAGATCTCTGAGCAGTTTGTGTAAAAAGCAGCCCCAGCCCAGTCCGAAGCGCTACCGGGCTTTTGTCCAATTGTGCTGCTTGCACCTGTTGCGGTTCTACCCGGGCGGGAACAGCCGGAGGGCGCGGAGACCGGGTTGCGCTCCAGCTAGGATACTGCAGGGCTCCCCGGATCTGGTCTCCAGCAGGCGCTTGGCTTCGGGGAAACGTTCCTTTGGGGACTCTAGGGGCGAGTACAGGATCTGGGGGTCTTGGGGCACATATGAGGGGAGTCGTGGCAGCCTGCGGAGCTGGCCAGAGAGATTGCGAATCTACGCGTGTCGGCATCCATGAGGTGGGTGTGTGTGGCACTTTCATTCAAACTTTGGGAAGTTCTTGGGTTGGGCGTCAGCGAAGGTGTGACCAATCAGAGTCCAAAGATGGGAATAAATTATGCAAATAACCATCTGGCGATGGGTCAGATGACTCGGATTCTTTAAAAAAACTACCTTTCCTGGAGCTCGCGGCGTGACAGCGGCGATTCCTCGCTTCCCCGCGGTTCTGGACCAGGGCTGGTTCCCCGCTGCGCCGCAAGCCCCGCGCGGCGGCGGGCGCAGCCAGATCCCTAGTTTCTACCTTCTCCTCCAGCTGTCTAGTCCATCACCTTCTGGCCGGGACCAGGCTGCCCATTTCTGGACTTGAGAGGTTTTGGTGGCATTTTTCATTTTTTCCCTTCTTAAACCTTGTTTCACGGGGAGGGGGCGTGGCAGGGAAGGATGAGAAACTCGGTTCCTTTGCTCTGCTTCTGGAGCGTCTATTGTTGCTTCGCGGCGGGAAGCCACAAGTCCTTGGGTCCCCAGGGGCCCCTGGAAGGTAATGTGCATTTATTTTTATTACTGTCCTCCCCACTTCTTTTTTTGCACTGAGTTCCCTCTGTCCTAAGGACCCTTCTTGAGTGCCTCCTCGATCCTACAAAATCATTTCCCACTGCTCTGTGGCTTTCTTCTCCTCGGCCTTGGAAGCCACATCTGCTACCAAGCCATCCGCAGGCAGCAGGAGAGCAGGGTGAGCGGGCTCGCGCCCTCGCTCTTGCCCCCGCCCCTCTATTATGTGGTTCCTTTAATCAGCGTTGTCCAGCTAGCTGAGTTGCCTCCCAGCAGCGCTCAAACCTTGTCCTGTCTTTGGAGTTGGAGAGGCCAGAAGATCGTTAGAAAGAGCTTCGATTTTGGTGCCCCCCCCCCCCCCTTT